TTCAGGGATTTTCATGGGAAGAAAGTGCTCGTCCTCCTACTTTCGATGGATTCAAATTAAAAGTAAAACAGAAAATAGTTTGTGAATAATGAATGTTTCTTACATCATTGTAGACCTTTTTTATGGTAAAAAGTGATACATAATTTTTTAGATAGAAGAGTATGAAAATGTGAGGTGTGGGTTGAAGCGTCGGTGGGTGTGTGTAGCTGCTGGTAAGGATGTATGGATTTGAACATGGTTCTTCGCTTCATTATCCACGACCACACCCGCATTCATAATTTGTGTACTCTAAAGAATAGTTATATAAGTTGTTTCTCTAGAAGATCTATCAGTGGACAAAAGCAGAAATATTCGAGGTAGTACTCATCTTGTTTTTTTGACAGAATATTTAATAAAACATCTGTACACTAGGATGCATGGAAATAGAATTAAGTTGTTTAAAAAAAACAGGAATAATGATATATAATTAAATGAAACATAGAGTAGAAGTATTCTAAAGGTGTGGGTGTGTCTTCCGCTCTAACACACCCACACCCACACTCACACACGCCACAGTTCAAGCTCATAACTTCGATTCTTTTGAGAAGAGTTGAAGTGTGTGCATAGTTCTTATGAACGATTAGGATCAAATTGAGTATTTTATTTGAGAAGAATCGATCTTCCTTCGTCCATCATACTAGAAAAACTCGACTGTTTGAATGATTTTACTTATAGAAGTTGGATAGCATGCTAATGTCAGTTCTTTTTTAGGCCTCATTTAGTTCAATCTTTAGTATTCCGGTCTCCATCGTTAAGAAAAAATAGCTGTGGAAACAATGAAATTAAAATAAATATAGAAGCTTTTGAAGAGTATGTCCGTAAAATAAAAGTAATTTTGAAATGAAAATAAGAAACGATTTTTAAATGAGTACAGATGCATGAATTATCGCGGGTATGCCATTTGATAGTCAAAATGATATCGTTCATGGAATAGATGTTTCGCCTCTTCAACACTGATTCTGTTGCCGTCAATCTTGAGTGTGATGAGTGTCTAGATTAAAACATAAAGGTGAATATGCAACGGACAAGAAGAAAAATTGTCGCACGGTATTTTTTTGTAATGCTCGAGCCAGATATTCTGCTCCATCAGCACTGATTTCGTTGCCTCCAACATCAAGTTCCGTAAGTGTCTGCATTGAAATGTATTGTTAAACATACAGTCGACGAGAAAAAAAACTTGCCTCACCGTGTTATACTCTAATGCTTTAGCCACATATTGTGATCCTTCATCATCAATAAGATTGTGTGCAAGATCGAGCGTAGTGAGTGTCTGTTTTTGAAAGATAATGGTGAATTTATATTCGATCAGAAGAATACTAATCTTACATTGTTATGTTGTAATACTTGAGCGAGATATTGTGTCCCTTTACTACCAATATGGCCGAGCTCAAGTCTGAGTATCTTGAGTGTCTATATTTAAACATATAATGATGAATGTAAAGTTGATGAAAAGAAACATTGTCTGACATTGTTATTCTGTAACGCTTGGGCCAGATATTGTGCTCCTTCGGTAAGGATTTGATTTCTGCTAAGGTCGAGCGTGATGAGTGTCTGTATTGATACATAATGGCGAAATTATAGTCGATGAGAAGAAAACTTGTCTCACCGTATTATTTTGTAATGCTTGAGACAGATGCTGTGCTCCTCGAGCACTGATTTCGTTCAACGCAAGATTGAGTGTGGTGAGTGTCTATGTTAAAATATAATCATGAAATTATAGTCGATACAAGGAAAACTTGTCTAACCGTGTTATTCTGAAATGCTCGAGCTAAATATTCCAGTCCTTCATCACCGATTTTGTTGTAGTGAAGATTAAGCTCTGTGAGTGTCTATATTAAAATAATATGGCCACTGTACATCCAATGAAAAGAAAATTTCTCTGACCGTGTTATTTTGCAATCCTTGAGCAAGATACTGTGCTGCTACGGAATCAATGTTGCTACTTTCAAGATTGAGCATGGTAAGTGTCTGTATGGAAACAGAATCGTGAAATTATCACCGATCGAAAGAAAACTCATCCGACCGTAGTATTCTGTAATGCTTCAGCCAGATATTGTGCCCCACTAGTACCAATATTGCTGCTTCCAAGGGTAAGACTGCTGAGTGTCTGGATTGAAATATAATAGTGGGAATGTACCGTTGATGAGGAGAAAATTAGTCTTACCTTGTTGTTCTGTAATGTTTGGGTTAGATATTGTATTCCATTAAAATCAATGTCGTTCCCTCCAAGGTCAAGTGTCGTTAGTGTCTACATCGAAACAATATTGAATTTATAGACGCACAAAAGAAAATTTGTCTTACCATGTTGTTTTGTAACGCTTGAGTCAGATATTGTGTTCCTTCATTACCAATTTCATTGAACCAAAGATTGAGCGTAGTGAGTGCCTGTATTGAAACACAATTGTGACTTTATATCCGATGAGAAGAAAACTTGTCTGACCGTATTATTCTGTAATGTTCGAGCTATATATTGCGTCCCTTCAACACCGATTTTATTGTAGGAAAGGTCAAGTGTGGTAAGTGTCTGTATTGAAATATATCGGTAAATCCATAGTCGATAGGAAGAAAATTTGTCTCACTGTGTTATTCTGCAATGATTGAAGTATATGTTCTGCACCTTCTTTACCGATATCGTTGGACCCAAGGTGAAGTGTGGTGAGTGTCTGTATCAAAACAATGTTCAATTGATAGTTGATGAGAAGTAAACTTGCCCGACCGTGTTTTTCTGTAATGCTTGCGCCAGATGTCGTGCCCCTTCAGTCTCAATATTGTTCGAGTCAAGGTTGAGTATGACGAGTGTCTATATTGAAACAGAACAATGAATGTACAGTCGATGAGGAGAAAATTGATCTGACCACATTATTCTGTAACGCTTGAGTCAAATATTGTGCCCCTTCAACACCGATATGATTCATCTCAAGGTTGAGTATAGCGAGTGTCTGTATTAAAATATACTGGTGAATGCGTAGTCGATGAGAAGAGAATTGATCTCACTGTATTATTTTGTAATGCTTGAGCCAAATATTGTGCCCCTTCATCATGGATTTCGTTGTACTGAAGAATCAGCTTGGTAAGTGTCTGTAGTGAAACATAATGATGAATGTACAGTTGATGAAAGGAAAAGCTCTCTGACCCTGTTATTCTGCAATGCTTGAGCCAGATGTTGTATCCCTTCATCATGGATCCCGTTGAAGGCAAGATTGAGCGTAGTAAGAGTCTATATTGAAAGATAATGATGAACCGTAGTTGATGAGAAGAAAAATCGTGTCACTGTGTTATTCTGTAATGCTTGAGCCATGTATTGTGCCCCTTTAATACCGATTTTGTTATACCGAAGCTCTAGTGTAGTGAGTGTCTGCATGTAAATATCATGATGAATTTACATCTGATGAGAAGAAAACTTGTCTAACCGTATTATTCTGTAACGCTTGAGCAAGATACTGTGCCCCTTCTTCATCGATCTCGTTGGAATAAAGATTGAGCATGGTGAGTGTCTGTATGGAAACGAAATAGTAGATTGAAAGTAGATGGAAGACAAACTCGTCTCACTGTGTTATTGTGAAATGCGTTAGCCAGTTGTTGAATATTTTGAGCAGGAATTGATTCCCATGTCAACATCAGTTCGTTGAATGTCTATATGTGTTTTTTTTAATTAAAATTAGCATTTTGTAATGGAAGAGTCTGATTTACATACGGCCTTCTAGGATCATTTTATTGCCTTTACTAGAGCTCTTGATGCTTTTTTTTGGACAGCTCTTCATACTAGTGTTCCATGTACATTGGAAAAAAGATTTGAGTGAGTAGTAGATTTGTAAAGATTGCTCTACTTCTATGAAAGATGATTCATTGATTTTTCTTGTTAGTTTTCGTATCAACAGTGAGAGCTACCGGATTTTTTTTTTGGTAGAAATATCTTTTCACATGAATATATCGACAAAAAATCGTAACCTATGAATCACTTCTGCCATGATTCTAACCGATTATACATAATAGTTAAATTGAAGAACCACAAATATATCAACAGCAGAATTACTTAGTTCTCCCAAAATATATCTCCTACAAAGCAAAAATGTTCCCGCTTAGATCCACAATAAAGGATCGGGGTGTATCAGTAGATATGTCTGCAAGTAAGACTCAATGAGTAGCCCACTGAATCGGAAGTACGTTGTAATGAGTGTCAATGAAATAGCATTATGTAGATCTGTTTTCTTAAATATGTCTACAATAATAAATCTCCAGCACTGTTGCCAAGGGAAAAACAGTGTACTCCTGTACTCCTTGGTGCTCCCTTTGTACACCATCAAACCTCTATGTACTCCTAAGTCTCCGATCGTAGTTCTTGATGCTCTTTTTTTTATAGAGCTTTCTAGCAACAGAACATAAATAAAAGATATCGAAAAAAATGTAAAGAAACTTGTACATGACAGGGCTCTCAGGAACGCAAGAAAGAATGAGACAGACAAGAGAAAGAGAGTTGATACATGTGCAGTATTTATTTGGTATTTACGAGCATTCGAAACATCTATGGTCTAGAAAATTATTTTATCTTTCTGTTTAGCGTCAGCTGAAGCAATCACCAGCATTATTTATTACCCATGTTATTAGTAGTTTGACTTCTTCTCAGTATCACTGCTAGAAGAACTATAATCATGTTCTACAAATGATCGATTCATTCATGTCTTCTCCGCTGTTGCTGTGTTTGAGGTGGATATATTTGAATTCAACTATCGTTGCCTAACGGATTTTGACCATACCCGTGTGGTCTGTTGACAACTGCAAAGTAAACTTTTTGGGTTTCGACCTAGCTTCATAATCTCGAAACAAAACAAAATGCGTTTTAAAACGCTACGTATACTTTTTTGATAAGTATGTATACGTATTCCAATTCCAGTAGTTAGTAATGTCGCTTGCGTTGCAGCAACTCAAACTGTAGACGTAAAAGTTGATTTGCTGGCTGAGCTTTCGTCTACAGATACAAGGACCGAAATACGTGATGTTTCGGGCTTTTAAACTGTCCCGCAGAGTCCTTGTACGTGGTAAGAAAATGCGAGATGATGGTAGTGAGGATAATGAGAGCAACAAGAAATAGATAATTACTTTAAAGATCATTTCAACTGGCCGTTGGCATCATATCAGGGACAGTATGATAGGTCCAACGAACACGAATGTCTTAGTAGGTAGTTAAATATCACACATGCCTGATGAGTCACTTGTTGTTATGACATGTACTATAATGTATCTGATGATCATTACAGCAGTCAGTTGATATAATCTTTAAATTAATTAAATATTTTCTCTTCGCTATGATTAGAAAAGATAGGAAAACTATACAGTCAGAATGTTGACTACTGACCGATAAAAACGGTGGTTTATCAAATGATCGTCTATCTCGTGTTATGCAAATAAGTAGACAAGATCAAGGAATAATTTTGTTTTTTCTTCTTGTTCGTTATTGTTTTCTTTTCATCTGAAGAAATAAAATGTTTGGAACGAACAGTATTCTTTCGTAATCCTATGGCCATACTCCTGAGTATTCCTTGTGCTCTTAAAGTTAGAAGTACACTATTCTTCGATTGGAACAACGGCAAATGAATTGGTTTTTACAAAATATTTCATTTTTTGATTCTTTTCTAAAAAGAATTCACAGTGAAAAACCGAATAAATTGTAGAAAATGATTTCAAATGTTTCACGCAATGTTATTTCTAGATATGATTGGATAAAGCAAATGATGCTTTTCTTATTTTATCTAATACTAAGTTGAACGAAGAATAGAATTCAGTAATGAAATAAATAGTGTTTCGAAGATGATGAAAATCTGTCTTCAAAAAAGGTGCAATAGTTTACCTTGTATGGATGATAGGTATCAATAATCGTATTAAGACTCGTACAAACATTACGAAGTGATAGAAGAATGGTTAATCGATCGAGTTTGTCCAATATATGATATACTAAATCGACGGTCAATGTATGAAGAGATCGAGTAATGTTGTCAGCCATTTTTGCGTTGTATTCGTTCTAATGTCTTTTGATGAAATGTATGCTTGTTGAATGAGTATGTTATTTTTTAAGAGCACTTTTGTCGTGGTATAAATAACTGTAAAATTAGAACGAACAGTCGCATGAGAAGAAAAATAGTTTTACATTTCTTCATCAACCTTTGAAAACGAAAGAGAAAAATACAAGACAAATCGTTTGGAGAGAACGAAAAAAAAACAGGTAAAAATATGCAAGCATAGTCAGTGAGAAAAATATCGACATCAACAAAATTAAGGTGTGACAATATTCTAGACGTATTTTTATTGTATTTATTTTACTGCCATTTTCATCAGAAAAGTATTCTATCTTCTACATTTCGCACTGCAATTATGATATGAAACTCAACTTTGTTAGAATTGTAAATTAAAATGGCTTGTGCCGATGATTGTATTCATTTACTTGATAGTCGTTTCGATCAACTTCGTGTGTTCAATGTTAAAATACAATCACCGTGTTCTCGTATAATCTCAAAAATACATAAAATAGATTTTTAGCAATTTCTTATTCATTAAAACATATTATCATATTTCAGAAAAATTATTAAATCTAAGATGTTTTTTATTGTCCTGTAATTTGAAAATAGACTTCTATGATGAAGTAGTTGTATTACTTTTACATCAAATATCAAATTTAGAAGAACTTCATTTGTATTTTTAAATGCTCTCGTGAAAAGTCATTTGCTGATGGAAATGATTCGAAAGCAAATATTATCACTCATTTACCACGATTAAAGATATTTTCATTTAATATTTGCTCATTTATTGATCATTATAATCAAATTATTTCTTGTATTGATTATTTTCCAGATAGAAACGAAGTTCAATATTATGTTTATTCATATCCATTTACATGTATTCGTAAAGTATCATTATCTGATGAACATTCTTTTGAACATAAATTTTTTCTTCGAATTCAAAAACTATTTCCATTCATGGAAGATCTAACTGTAGCTGGGTGTGGATGTAGGTGTGAATGTGAGGGTGGCTGTGGGTGTGGGTGTGGGTGTATGGGTGTCAGTGTGGGTGCGGGTAAACTTTTAAAAACGACCCACACCCTCAAGATCGAGAAAGACTCATGTAAAACTGAATATTGAATTAGTATCTTCATGATAAAATAAAATTAAACATTAACTAAATTGAAAATATTCTTCAAAACTTTGTGAGAAAGTTGAATCTTGTGACGGACCTGATGCGATAAAACCTTCCATTTAAGCTTAGAGCTTGCTGATCAACAGAGGATGTAGTATAGATCAAAGCCTTAATAGAATTCATATCATTGACAATTTATTTTTGAAAAACAAGTTCAATAAGTTTCTCTAAACAAAACTTCACTGTATTTTGTGTAAACGTTGTTTTTTTTTCAGATGTCCATATAGAAATATTTTCATACATTTGAGAGTTTTTTTTACAAAATCGTCGTATCTATGATTCATTGCAGTAGGCATATGAATCATATCTGAGTTAATGTTCTATATGTAGAGAAGAATTAATCTTCGATCAATGACTTTCTTCAGACGTTTTTGTTTTTTTGTTCAAAAGCTCTTCTGGCTGAATGTTCATAATTTTTATATAGGTATATAGAGAATACTTTGGGCTGAAGATCAGTGTTTTTGGCCAAAAAAAATTGACAAAAAATAGCAAAGTTATGCTACTTTAAATTTCGATTTTTCCAAAAAAAGGTATTCAACATAGATCTGAACTGCTCTACATCTTTTTTCTACATATTAATTGTTTTGAATTTATCACATATATTAAGATCCAGTGTTTGACAGTTTTTATTGTAGTGATGGATTTATGGATGAGCACGAAGGAAAGATCATCATTGATTCGAACAAAAGTTTGTTCGTTTTTCTCTAGCAAAAATGAATAAAAAATGAGTTTACACTACCTAATATAAGCCTCAAAAAACTGATTTTTCTTAATGATTACTCCTTCTTCGGAGAAGTATCCCTCTTACAAAATCCTAGATCCGTTACTGTTTTATTGAATTCTTTTGAAATACATTCCTGCAATCATGATACAGTTTGAAAAAGAAAACCGGCATAAAACATTCTTCCGAACTTTCTGTTTACATTACATGTAAAACTAATGTCCGAAAACAATATCAAAATAGATAAACTAGAAGAATATTTTTCACAATTTCTCAAAAATCAAACGCTGATATATTTATCATATTCAAATATATTGATCGTCATAATTATTTAATTGATTATACGTGAAAAATTAGTCATTTGTTCCATGTCATCTTATTAGTAATGAACTATAATCAAGATTCATACCAGCATAAGTAGAGTAGATTAACTCATCAATAATTTACAAAAATATATTTCCTAACATATGGATTATGTTTTTGAGAAGCATAACGAATCATTTTTCAAACATATCTTCAAACTATATAAATCTAATTAACTGGTATCATTCATTTTTTTTTGGTAAAATACAATACATAAAAGCATGATAGTATTTGGGTTCGAATCCCAGTCGAGGCTCATTTTCTTTTCTTTGTGTTTCATTTCTTTCAAGTAATGAATAATAGCCGTTCTACTGTTTTTTATTCGAATAATAAATGAAAAAAAGATCCTGTCATATACATTTATATGCATAAAACATATGTTATAAAATCAATAGATTATCATGATTGTTAAATAAAAAACTAAAAAATAACTTAATTAAACCAATGTTTTTGTACAAGACTCCGAAGTCTTTTTTCAATATGAATTAATTTGAGATGATGAAATCTAAGTGGACTTAGTGAAGATAATTCACGATAGAATTTTCTTGAATAATATTTTCGTAATCGAGATGCAGCTTCTAAAACCAATAAAACAGACAACATCATCATTAAAACTCGAATATATTGAGCTAATGTAACATCAGTTTCTCCATCTGAAACTGTACGTTGATCATCACTAAATTTTTCATATGCTGGTGCACAATAGCAATATTGTATAAGACGTGCTGTGGGTGCATCTAATGTTCGACCTTCAGCAAGAGTTTGAGTAAAAACTGTTCGATGATTATTTTTCATATCTCCTTTTAGATCCTTAAAAAACAAAAACAAAAACAAAAACAAAAAGTATTTTCTATTTAAAATTAATTTAAACTTACTTGTAAATCATCAATTAATTGTAAACCAAATCCTATATATTCTAAATAAGCCATTTGAGCTTTTGTTAATCGTCCTTGAAGTAAAAATCCAGCAGCTATTACTGATGCGCCACCTTTTTCTGCACTAATTTGTTCAATTTGTGCCATGGTTGGTGCATAATCATCTTCAGTTCTTGCATGTTGTAATGTTGATTTCATTTGTGCTTCATGTATTGTAGTTAAACTCATATAAACACCTTCATATTCACCACCACGTCTCCAATCATTTTCAATAAATTTAACCATATCAAATATTTTTACTATACGATTAGCTTGTGCTTGTAATGATGATGGTAAATTTAATTCAGCAACATTTGATTGTTTTCCATCAAAATGTACTTGAGAATCATATGTTGGTTCACCAACCAATAGTCGTTCATGAAAAATTTTTGCAAAATCGGCTTTTGCTTCTCGAGTTATATCGTTACAATCGACTAAATCATCTGTATATGGATAAAGCATATTATAACCAAGCATAGAATCAGTGAAACTTAAAGGTAAATTGCATTCAAGATGAAAAGCACTCATAAACCAAACACTTCGACCAGCTTTAAATAATTCTTCATAACTGATTGTTGGATCATATTGTCGTCCTCTATTACAAAACTCTACAGTGACTCGACCCATTAATTGATGTAAATCACGAATAAATTCATCATTTGATGGGGGGATATTTAATGTTTCATTCCATAGTCGAAAAACTGAAAGAAAAAATGAGATCAAATTTTCATCAAAGCATATTTTCCTATTTTTGTTTTGACTTTAAAACTATTATCTTAGAATAATAATAAAAACAAAATCAAACAATAATTTTCTCGTGATCTTTTTGAATTTTATTCTTTGACATAAACGAATTATAATCTACTCTACACATATTCTTTCAATAATTTTATCAAAAATTATATTGAAAATAAGCAATAATCGAAATTAAATTGTTGTATAATAATTTCTCGATTAATCATCAAATTAATTTTTTTGTTTCTTATTTATCTCTTGACCGAATTTTCTTCCTATGAGATGTTTTCTTGAGCAATGAACAATAAACCAAATAGTGTTTTATTTTTCTGAAATGTGCTCGTTGTTGTTTACGTGTGTGTCGTCTGACTCGATTATTATCATTTATTGGTAGAGTATCAGGTAGTGAATACCATAGTTTTAATGTACAATCATAATTTAATTTCAATCGTTCTTTCCAAAATTCTTCATATGTCTTAAATTCAAAGTATGTGTCAGTATCTAAATTATCCATCTACAATAAAGTAAAAGAACAAATAAATTTATTCATAAGATTTTATTGAAATAATAAAATCATTTTTTTTGTTTTTAGCTATATGATCAAGAAATTATAAAATTTTATCGATGTTTCTTATTTTCTGCCAACTACTTTTTTTTTTCTTCTACTTTTTCTTCAAGGATATTTGACCGAATAACGAAGGTGTAAGTTAGTGTAATTTTATAGTCACGGTTGATGGTCACAACCAACAACTTTTTTTAAAGTGTAGAATACAAAAACAAGAAAGTGGAAAGAAAAAAAATAATAGAACTCTTTCTCAAGTAGTAGCGAAGGTGGATGGCTCATCAACATAAAAACAAGCATCTGATTCATGTAGGACTAATTGATTCTTAATTTCAATTGTAAGTTTGAAACGAATAAGAGACATTATGAAGAGAAAAAGAAAAAAAATAGAATGCTATTTATTCGGAAGCATAAAAAGCATTCGTGTTTTTTTTATTTTGCTTAATGAACAAAAGATATTGGACATGAACTAGGTATGCATCAATCTCAGTTGAAGCAATATTCTATCGGACAGGTAC